CTGGTGTCCAGATGGTGAGCATATCTTAACAGCCACTTGTGCTCCCAGGTTACGTGTTAATAATGGGTACAAAATTTGGCATTATACCGGCTCTGTCTTGCACAAGTATGATGTCCCGTCAAATGGAGAATTGTGGCAGGTTTCCTGGCAGCCATTCTTGGATGGAGTGTTTCCAGCAAAAACAATAACGTACCAAGCAGTTCCAAGTGACATACCCAGTGAAGAGCCTAAAGTTGCAACAGCTTACAGACCCCCAGCTTTACGAAATAAACCAGTTACCAATTCCAAATTGGTAAGTGAAATTTTACTTCTTTGGTTGGGAAAAAATTTTTCATTGTGTGGAGCTATTTAGACCTTTTCCGTGTATTTTTAAATTTCTGGGAAAGATAATGGAGTATGATGCTGAATTTTTTTCTTTTATACTGACTTTGTATCAGGAGCTCAAATTCAGGTGCCTGTTAGCCTAGATCAGATGTGATGCAATAGTAAGTGGAAAGAATGGTCAGTGAGAGAGCATGTGGCCTCTGCACAGGCCTTAGCAGCTCAACTGTGAAAACTGGTTCTTTCCTTAGAAAATTTTGTTTCAGTTGGTTAAAATGTTTGGGTTTCAAGGCAGTGGATCTATTTATGTGCAATTTCCCAAATTTTAAAACACATTTGTCATCCTCTGGCCATTAGTTCCTCACCTTTGCTTTAAAGTTATCACTAGAGTATTGATCAAATTTTTGTATGCTTTTTTTGAGCATTTCAGAGCTCAAAAGACAGCTCAGTTTCTGTGATTATGTTAAGAGAGAATGCTCCAAGAGTGAGCAGCCATATTATTGGTGTTACTAGAAAAGTGACCACATAACAGTAATCAACTAGGGTTCTTCAAAGCAAAAGGGGCTGCACAGGCATTTGATTACTGGGCACTCAAGGAAGTCGATGCTTTTCCTAAGAATAAATATTCTTATGCCTTTATTGTGCCCTCCTTACTTCCCCAAAACGAAAAGAATAGCCATTCCTTAGCTAAACACAAAGTGCATAACTTAACTCCCGTGTTATGTGTAAACATTGCTTAATCTTCTAATCTCTTGAGTTTTACAAATAAAGATCTGACAAGTAGTTCTTTTTGTGAAGAAAACAATTGAGGAACTGGGTTTCTGTTGAGAGTAGTGAGATCAAAAAACCTCCAAAGAATGCTTTTGATACCTGATTTCGTAAGAATCATGTGTCTCTAATAGTGCTAAGGGGGTTTCCGGGGTAGCTCAGTTGTTGAAAGCGCCTGCTTGGGCAAACTCAGCTAGGCACAGGGGACCATGGTTTGATCCAAGGCTGTACAAGCCGCACCAGACCTGCCCTCAATGCAGCCTGAGAGAGAAAAAAAAAAAATTTCCTTCTCTAATAGTGTTTAAAAAACAAAACAAAACTGCTCTTTAACTAAAACTAAAAGAAATTTTGCTAACTTTAAAAAAAAAAATGTACCCGAAAGATGTATACCAACTAATAGGAAGACCTTCATTAAATTCATTCTAACATTTGGAGTGTAACTACTGATAGGAATTTTGAAGTGTTCTTTGCCAGTGATATTGAAATAAATTTGATAAATTTATCTTAAATGGACAAAAATATATAATTTATTATTGTACATAATTTTAAAACATGGGCTCTAGTTGAGAATTGCTTATTTTACATTTTTTTCATAGCATGAGGAAGAACCACCCCAGAATATGAAACCACAACCAGGTCATGATAAACCATTATCGAAAACAGCCCTTAAAAATCAAAAGAAACATGAAGCCAAGAAAGCTGCAAAGCAGGTATGTCGAGTATTACTACTAATCTTTTCAAAACAACCCATTATTTAATGTAAAATGTAAAAGTTTAAAGAATTATGGTCCTAAAGACTTGATACAGAACATAGTTAGATTTCCACTACATTTCTTTGCCTTTGAGTTTTTAAGTTATGCAGCTTATGTGATAGATGGTGATTCTGTTGGTGTTTCATCACGATAGCAGATAGTCATCTTATAAAGTCAAAAGATTTCTTATGTCTCAGTCTTGGATGTTCTAATCCATCAATTAGGCCTGTGGCAGGCACCACATAATGGCAGCCATGAAGTGGAGCTAAACAATTCACCCTACCTGCCATGGAGCAAAGGGAAGATGGGAAGGGGCTGGGGTCCCACATTGCCTTTAAAAGCATATCTGCTGCAACCTAAGAACGTCCCATTAGGTCCCACTTTGGAAGGGCTTACCATTGACCTCCCAATAGCATTGGTGACCCAAGGTTTGCCACATGGACCTTTGGGGGGCGGTCAAGATATATAGTGTAGCAATGATGAAGGCAATTGGACCTGACCTTATAACTTGAGATTCCACTGGGTTTATATAATATATTTCCTGCTGTAGAGCCTTTATGGTAGAATCTGTGTGAAGTCTAGTTTTGGAGAGGCTGGAAGTTATATGATAGTACCTCTGTTTTGTCACCCAATGTGACATTACTATTTGAAATTCTTCAACTGAGAATCTCTTGTTGATACTGATTGTTCTAATTTATTTGTTTGTTTTTATTATTTTGGGGGGTTTTGCGGTACTAGAGATTGAACCCAGGTATTACATATTGAATATACTAGTTCAGTTATGTTCTACCAATAAGCTGTGTCCACACTCCTTTTTAAGTTTTATTTTGAAACAAGTTCTTGCCAGTTTACTCAGACTGGCCTTGAATTTACAATCCTTTTGCCTCAGCTTCCCAAGTAGCTGTGATTACAGGTGTGTCCCACTACACCTGGCTAAAATAACTTTGTATTTGATTATATAGTTGAAAAATTCATACCAGTGTGATTACGGACAGGTTGTGATAATATTGTATGGCTCACAGTGGTAGCATGACCAACTAGGCTAGAAATGTCTTGTTAATGAAGTCATGGTGAACACATTTTTGAGATTCAGACAAAATGGATGTCTTGTCTGTTCAGACTACTATAACAAGATAGCTTAGAGTGGGTAATTTTTAAACAACAGAAATTTACTGCCCACAGTTCTGGAGAACGAAGAGAGTGCACGAGCACAGGAGTATCTGGTGAGGGAGAGCTCCCTTCTCATTGATATCAACCTTTTTGTAGCCTCGCCTAGTGGAAAGGGCAGGGGTGTAGCATGCTATTCCCTTTCATGAGTGTAGGTCCTTGTAATTTAACCATTTCTCGAAGGCCCCCACTTCCACACTGGGCGTTGGATGTGCCCACATAGGAAAAACTTTTCCTTGGCACTTTGTTGCCTAGCTCAATTGTTCTGATGGTGGGGAAAAGTAAAACTTTTCCTGCTGGCATCACTTGTTATGTGCACTTTCCTCTTACATACTCTGTAGTTTTGGAGTACACATGAGTGAAACCTTAAGGCCCTCTCACTTTCCACACCGTCCATGTAGTGATAGTGCATTCCAAAATAGCCAGAAATCTCAACGGCTGCTTGACTGTATGGAAATCACCTAGTTTACTCTGATAGAGACTGTGGATTGAAATACTGTAATGTTTCCATTTTTGAAATTGAATTTTTAAAAAATTTTCCTGAAGGAAGCAAGAAGTGACAAGACTTCAGATGTGGCACCAGCTCCTGCTCCACAGAGTGTACCACAGAACACTGTCTCACAGTCAGCTTCCGGTGACCCTGAAGTAGACAAAAAAATCAAAAATTTGAAGAAGGTGAGAGACTGAAATGAAAAAGCAGATGTATATGTAGAAAGGAGTGTATCTAAGAATTATATAAAGAAAAATGGATACTTTAAAGTGGTATCTTTCTCATTATGAAATGCTGTGATTTAGGAATGGAACTCATTTTAATTCTATTCACTAATGTTTGAAGGCTATTACTTTATTAATTTTTAAAGTAATTTACATTTATACACAAAACGAACACTTTAAATTCATTGTTTCATTATACACCTGTAAGATAGGTAAGAACAGATATTTTACCCCCATTTTAAAGATGAAGTAGGAGGGCTGAGGTTGTGGTTTAGTACAAAGTACAGTTTAGTGCTGTGCTCTGGGTTTGAATCCTGCTCCACCAAAGCAATAATAAAAGCAATAAAAGATGAGAAAATAGAGACAAAAATTTAGTTAATGTGTAAAATTGCAACAGGGTCTCTGAGTATTTCCTAGCTGCAGTATGATACTCCTCTTAAACTCTTTTATCAGCTTACCCTGGGCAGCGCATTAGTTTACTTGCTGACTATCCTGAGCGCCATCAAGTAGGCGTCATTTCAGCCGGTTGAGTCTTGCATTAAATAAATTTGATAAAATTGTGACTTTTATATTTCTTTTCATATAATCTTACAAAAATTAACAAAAAGTATACCATTTTTGGTCATGGTGTATTTACATAATTGGACTGGTAAGACAAGGTCCAAGTTCAATGGAGTATTGAAATAAATGATGAAATTAGCAATCTATTTATGGACATGCACATTTGTATGTACACAAATGATAACATTAAAAGCTTGAAAAAAATTTTGCTAGTTCCCATTTTTTTAATATTTAGCTTTAAAAATATAGTTTGTTCTAACATTTTAATAGACTGTTTTTGATGGAAGTGGTAGATAATTCTCCTTGATTCAAGTTTCATAATCATTGGCTTCTTAATGAGGAAACTCACATTAGAAATTGGCTTTATCTTGCTCTTGACTGATTTTTGATCTTTGCAGAAACTGAAAGCAATAGAACAACTAAAAGAACAAGCAGCAGCTGGAAAACAACTAGAAAAAAACCAGGTATTTTCTTGCATTTTTTATTTGAACTGATAGTCATTACTTCCTTTCCCTGTTTATTACAAGTCAATGTTTAAATTTGTTATGTAGTATTCGTACTTTTAAATGTAAAAGTACGAATTTTAAAAGCTGGGTTATTATATTAAGCTGTAAGGGACTCAGGTCAACAATTTCTGACATTGCCAGTCAAGCAGAAGACCCAATACTATTGTGGACTACTGGACTCTTTTAGAATATTTTGCTGAGTTAACACACCTATAATATTCAGATGATGGAACTAAACAAAAAAGAGGATACAGATGAATGTCCATTTTGTATCTGTGTATTCAAAATGGTTAGGATGGATATATAGTTACATTCTCTTAATGAATGGAGGGATTTGTTCTAATGGTGTTTGTAAATAGGATATCATGTCTGCATCTTGTACATATCTGCATCTTGTACAGCAGATAACCACTAGGGAGAGAGTATGCAATGTGTTAATTATTGAAACTGTCCTACCAATTTGATTTGAAACTGTCTCATTGCTATTTCTCAATAAAATTATGGAATAAAAAAGATTAGAAAGGCTTTTTTATGTATTTCATGAGAGCTATAAAAATAAGATGTGTAGATTTAAGAAAACATTGTGAACAATGTAACAGACTTAAGAAAATGTATTGTGATTTATTGTGCATAATGGTTATCTCTGAAATTTTTAAATTACAGAGGTTAATTAAAGAGGTTAATTTTTAAATCATCTGTTTTATCTGTAACATGCACTTTTTACATGTGCAACTAAATAATAATAAAGGAGAAGACTCTAGAGCTTTAAAAAAATAAATAAATAAAAGCTGGATTAGTGGTGCACATTTTTATAAATTGCTCAGCACTCAGAAGGCCAAGACAGGAGGAGCACCACAAGTTTGAGGCCAGCCTTCGCTACACAGTGAGTCTAGGCCAGCCTGAACTACATAGCAAGACCATGTCTGTAAAAAAAAAAAAAAAAGAATAGAGGCCGGGGATAAAACTCAGTGAGAAAAAAAAAAAGAAAAAAAATAGGAATAGGGATAGGCCAGGATAGAATAAATAAAAATTAACCTTTTAGTAGGGAGGGATATGATATACAGTAGATTACAGTGAATGACAAAATTACTTTTCCTGAGGGGCATATGAATGTTGTCACTGCTGAGAATGATGGAAGTGTATTATGTTACACAAATAAATCTCTTCCTGTATCTCAGCTAGCATTTTCTCCTTCCTTTTCTGAGCAATTTTGAGGCCAAATAAAGAAAGACACTGAGACAACTTCTGTCCTTTGTTCCTCTGATTCTCTGATTCATTCTAGATAGCAATTTAGAATTGATATTTTTTAATCTATGTTTTCCAGTGAATCTGCTAAAGTGTAAGAACTATTCCTTCTCTGAACTTTTTCTGACATACTACAGATCCAGTAAATATTTTATTTCTGACTTAATAACTTCATTGTTTTATACTTTTCTAGTTGGAGAAAATTCAAAAAGAGACAGCCATTCTTCAAGAGTTGGAAGATTTGGAATTGGGTATTTAAAAATTCACTGAAGGGCTGGTGAGATGGCTCAGTGGTCTAAAGCACCTACTTAGAACAAGCTTAGCAAAGCACAGGGACCACGGTTCAATCCCCCAGCACCACATGCCAGCCAGCCCCGCCCCCTGGTGGGCTGAGCTGGCCACACACACACACACACACACACACACACACACACACACACACACACAAATAAAAAAAAAATTTAAAAAAAATTAAAAAAAATAAAAAATAAAATAAAAATTCACTGAAAGCAAATCAACGCAAGCATTTCTGTTAAGCCTATTGGTGTACCTGAAACAACTGTGAGCCTACATTAAATGTTGGCCTGAAGTTTTAACCATTTATCCAAGATTCTGCATATGTATGAAATTATTTAACAGTTGTTTGTTGACATTATATCCTGTATTATGTCAGTACATAGTAAAGAAATGCCTGAATTTTCAGTTAAGCTAGACAGATTAAGAGATACTAATTTTTAACTGGAAACAGTATTTGCTATGTAAATGATTAAAAACATTTTAAATTTGTTTTTGTCTCTAAGTTTGTGAGTAATATTACTTATTAAAAGTCATGTATTGAATTGTATAATTTTTACAACAAACTGTATGCTGTGGGTATTATCTATTAACTATGCAGTGGGTATTAATAATTATTATTTTATAAATGAAGGACCTCAGGCCAAAAATTAAACAATTTGCCTGTGTCCCAAAGCTAAGAAGTGGGACTTGAACGTAGGCAGTCTGATTCTAGAGCCTGTTGATAGTTCTGGCCTGAGTATGAATTGCTGAATTATTATGGTGGTCATCTAACATGGCTGAAGCCCAGAAACAACAGTTTATCTTCCCAGTCACCACCTTTCCTTCATCTCCACCCCAGCCCCAAATACACATTCCTTTTACCTTTCCCACACCACAAGGGAGCCCTGTTGAGCTCCTTCCGTGTCACTGAGCCTGCCCCTCACACTCCACCTTTAGCAAGAATCTGTATAATTCCAGCTCTGCTGTGTCTCGAGTAGAGGATCTGGGCCCTCTCCTTGCGGTCCTCTCCAGGTCCTCAGTGAAAGCCTTTCTTTTACTTCTGCTACTGTGCTGCGCCGAAAAGCCTAACACCTCTGATCTAGGTTACTGTGATACACTGATTCACATAGATAAAATACTCTTGCCAACTGCTCAGTGGTTTTGTTTTGTGGATTCTTTCTTTCTTTTTCTTTTTTCTTTCTTTCGTGTGTGTGTGTGTGTGTGTGTGTGTGTGTGTGTGTGTTCTTGTTGTTGTACTAGGAACCTAATGTAGACCTTTTGCTTGTCGGGCAGGCATTGTGCCCCTTCTGCTCAGTGTTTTGAAGGACAGTGTGATTGCTCGATCCTAAACTGTGCACGTTAAATTGTTATAGCTCTTGCCAAATTACCCTCTTTCAGGGTTTGTACCCTTTTTTGTTTGTTTGGTTTTGTTTGTTGTCTTTTGGAGACAGGGTTTCACTATGCAGTTCTGGCTGGCCTTGAGCTCACTGTGTAGCCCAGGCTGGTCTCAAAACGATCCTCTTGCCTCCGGCCTCCCAAATGCTGGTATTACAGGTGTACACCACCACACCCAGCTAAGGTTTGTACTTTTAACAGTAAAGGGTTTTTATTATTAAATATTATAAGGCCTCTGAATTTTTGCCAGATTGAGAAAGGGGAAATGATGCTGTTACCATTACGTTTCTTTTTGTTAGGAATGTGTTAATGTACTTCCCTGCATTTAACACTTACTTGTATTTTTAATAAATTGTTTTTCCTTTTTCTTTGTCCATTTCTGTACTTACTTGATTTTACTCTTAATTTGCAAGAGTGTCCTATTAAGTTCTTCTTAAAATTTTTTTGTTGTTGTTTAGTTTGGTGTGGTATAGTTGGGTTTGGTTTGTTTTAACTTGACTTGGGTTGGTTTGTTTGTTTGTTTGTTTGTTTTTAATGTATTTGGCATAGGGTCTCACTCCACAGCTCAGACTGGTGGTGATCCTACTGTTTTCAGCCTCCCCAGGCGTGCGCCACCACACCCAATCTTTGACTTGCCTTTTGAGACAGGGTCTTACAATAGGCTGGGCTTTAGCTCATTGGGTATTTAGGCTGACCTGCCTGAGCCTCCTGAGTGCTAGTGTTACAGGCAAGTACCACCACACTTGGCTCTTAACAATTTAAGTAGAAACTATATGCAAAGAATTTTTAAAGATTCAAGTAGTTCATGTTTAAAATGAAAAGTATCTTATCTGTGTTCTGGAGCAACAACCATCAATTTCTCATGTTTCCTCATCTTAAGCTACATCCGCAGCCCTTATTTTTATTTTGTTTGTTTTTGTTTTTTGAGGCAGGGTTTTGCTCTGTAGTTCAGGCTACTTTGGAACTCATGTACTACAGGCTAGCCTTGAACTCACAGTGATCCTCCTGCCTCATTCCCCCCACCCCAGAACAGCACTGGTACAGAACAGTGTGTATTTACCCTCACTTAAAAAAAAAAAAAAAAAAAAAAAAAAGAATGTATATGTAAACCAGGCCTAGTGGCACATACCTAAAATCCCAGTACTCAGGACGTAGAGACAGGATGGCTGTCCTATACTTGAGGCCAGCCTGGGCTTTAGACCAAGACTTCGTCTCAAAATCCAAAAGTATGTATATGTAAACAAGCAATGGGGACACATACCTGCAATAGCGCTCTGGAGGCTGAGGCAGGATGATTGCAAGCTTGAGCCCCACCTAGGCAGCTCAATAGTTTAGCAAGACCCTGTCTCAAAATAAAATGAGAAAGCCAGGTGTGGTGATGCACACCTGTAATCCTCTCTCTCAAGAGACTGAGATAGGATTCCTGTGAGTTCAAGGTCAGCCTGAAACACATAGGGGGACTCTTAAAAGGCCAAAGAAAAATAGCAAAATATGGGTGATTAGTGTTCTGGAGTTGTATCCAAGTTTTGATGAATTAGTTTCAAGGTGATTGCTGTTTGGAGATCATTTTTGTGTTGGTAATATTTCTTTAGGTGAGAAAGGATAGTGGGAAAATTAAGAGTTTTTATACAAGTGACATTTCAGAGCAGCTCTTGGGTTTCCATCCATGTATAAATACATTGGCATTCAAAACAGGACAATGATAGCCAAATCTTGGAAACAACCAAGATGCCCATCACCTGAGGAATGGTTGAGAAAGATGTATTTTTATACAATGGAGTATTACTCAGCTATAAAGAATGATAAACTTGAAGCCTTTATATTTAAGTGGATTCCACTTGAAGATACATTCATAAGTGAAATAAACCAGACACACATGTAAATATCGTATAGTTCCCTAGTATAAGAACTCAAAAGAAGAAATACAAATAGAAAGGTATAATACAACTAAAAGGAAAGCAAGAACTTGAGAACTAAATAATTAGGGAAAGGAGAAGAGCTAGGAAACATGACAGTGGCAAGCCATACAGGTAAGGCAGTGATCCTGAGAATCTTCAGAAGATTTTTGAATCTAGCAGTGAATTGGAATGATTCTTACCCTGACTAACTATATATAGACACCTGTGAACTAAGCAACTGCACTGAAGATGGCAATTTGTAATATTAAGTTCATGCTTGGAGTGCCTGTCATTCTGATCTTCTGAATACAGACTGCTTGTCATGGCATGCCAGTTGCTGCCGTGCTGTCTCTTGGGTAGATGATTGTTCAAAAAGAAGGGGTTGGTGAATGAAGGCAGGAGACAGGAAAAGGAATGTTGTGGGATTGTCCTACTACAAGGTTGCATATGGTTAGATTTCTGGACTTAGGTGTAAATGTAAGAATTATATAATTCTTTATGCCTATTTTTAAAATATATTTTAATTTTTAAATTTTTTTTATCATATTCTGTAGGGCCTTAAAGTTTAACATATCAATACTGGATGAAAAATACCTGTTCCATCTTATGCCTAAGATGTTTGATATTCAGACAGATAGTGAGGTTAAACTTAACAGCCTAGGTTGTATGGTAATAACAATAAGCTTGTCTTCTGGATGGTTAACAACCTAAGTTTGCAGACCAAAATTAGAGAAAAAGGAGGGTCGCAAAGAAAGCCAACATTTTGGCCCTAGCCTTCGAAGGTCAATTAAGACTCAGGACATATCAGAACTTGTACTGTAACATCACGTAACTCAATAGTGTCCCGAATTTTCTGATCAAGGAGATTATGGGGCCAAAGAGGAAAGTGATCGATGATGTAGTGTGCCTAAGGAGAGTCACATGGAGAGAAAACATTCTCTCAGGCTTTCACAGAGAGCACACTGGCCAAGCAATGGCCATGACTCATCCACATGGCTGACACTGACAAAGGTTCTACAATCTGAGGTACAGGATCTCAGGATAAATCCTGAGGGGATTTGACTGACCTTATCAGATCCAAAACCTACAACTCTTGTTTGCATAGGTTCTGCTTTACCTTGGTCTTACCCATCCAGCAGAAAAGTATAAAAACAAAGTATAAGAAGTAAAGCCATGGTGTTATGTTGAACTGTAGGGGACACTTGTCAGTAATTTCTGACATTGTCAGTGAAGTGGAAGGCCCAATACTATTATGGACTACTGGACTCTTTTAGAATATTTTGCTGAGTTAACATACCTATAATGTTCAAATAACGGAACTAAACAAAAAGGATACAGATGAATGTCCATTTTGTATCTGTGTATTCAGAATGGTTAGGATAGATATATAGTTACATTCTCTTAATGAATAGAGGAATTTGTTCTAATAGTGTTATCATGTCTGCATCTTATACAACAAATAACCACTAGGAAGAGAGTATGTAATGTGTTAATTATTGGAACTGTCCTGCCAATTTGATTTGAAACTGTCTCATTGCTATTTCTCAATAAAATTATGGGGGAAAAAAAGGGCAAACAAGAAGTCGTAAGTAGTAAAATGATAGAAATGACTTGTGATGAGCCCTGCTTCTGCAGTCTTCTGAATGCAGTGTTTTGCTCTTTCAGAAAGGCAGAGAGAGTGCATAAGCCCACGCCCCGTACTTTGTTCACTAGTTCATACTCCGCCACCATGGCATAAACTCAGTTCACACTTAGAAAACGTAACCTTCCCACGTTTTCTTTCAAATTTATGCATCAATTTGTCAACATCTAAGTACAGTCCAAGTGACAAATATAATATACTCAGAAATAACAGCATTTCAGAATGTCATTCTCGGGGGCAGGGTTGAGACTGGGCGTGGTGGCTTGGCCTGTAATCCCAGCACTTGGGAGACTGTAAAGAGGAGAATCACTATGAGTCCGATCTACCTTGTGAGACCCTGTACTAAATAAAAGATAAATAAAATATCCAAGAAATATTTGTTCAGTTTCAGAAAAATGTCATTCATAGGCATGTTTGTGTATTTATCAATTGTTTTGTCTAATGAAGACAAAACTCAAGATCTGCTACCAAACTACGTGATCAAGATACATTAAGAAAAAAGCATCTAACATATATTGATATGAAAATATGGGAAATTATGCCCACCAGTGTTTCTTGTTCTCATTTCCCTGGCA